GCGATTCATTCAAAAAACGTGATATTTTCAATGTTGATATATCCATACATGTACATTAATTTTGATAAAACTAAATTTTATTACAACAGTAATTTTTTTTTACAGTAATCAGATTTGTAGACTATCCCACAACACCTTCAATAGCTGATACTATATAACCAGCAACTAATCTGGTTTGTGCATTATTCCAGACCATTTATGTATTAAGTTTCTTAGGAATATGTTAGTAGTAGTCAGTTGGTAGTAGAAAATGTAAATTGGGCCATTAATCAAAAACTAAGGTCTTCATATCTTCTTTGAAGTACAAGTACAAGTGGAAATGCTTTAAATTATCTGGTAATCACTATGCAAATTACTCAACCAGGTCGAGCATTATGCACAAAGTTCCAGCAAGCAATATATCAGTATCAGTGTGGGATCGACATGTACATAAATAGGAAACAAAAATATGACGTGTTACTGTAACCCAAAATGCATTATCGTCATACAAAGTTTGAATTAAATCATTAGTCAGCAATACTTGATTACATGATTAACAGAAATAAAAATGATAATCAAAAAGAAAACTCAAATATGTTAACGACGCGGACAGTATCATTCTTACAATGTTTAAAAGGTTTTTAAACATAGATGAAGCCCTAAAGCATGGGGATGAATTATAATAATTATTTGACAAATTTTATGATGTGGAAGAAAACAATCTTGCATATATATATATATATATAAACTTTCTTTTGCCTGTGTGTGCAATAAAAGAAAGTTTATATATATATATATATATAAACTTTCTTTTGCCTGTGTGTGCAATAAAATTAACATTGCTATTGTAAGAATATTGAGCGCAGTCTCTTTATCTGGGAGTATACTTACTTTTGCCAATCCCTCAAGACCATGTTTTAAACAGTTATGTGCTACAGAAGTCTACATTGCTTTCTTGTCTAATACAGATAATATATTTATAATACGACCCCACCCTGGACAAGAAACATCAAATACGAGTGTACTAACCATGTTATGTAGCAACGTATACATCATTTAAAACAAATAGATATGGGCAAATGACTTTTCAATTACATAGGACGTTCGCGTAATGCTTCAGACAAGTCGATCGCTTTCTCAGATAACAAAGTACTTTTTTGTATTTTCAGGCAATATAAAACTTAATACTATACCATATTAGTAATATACACAGTTTTTGACTGAAACCTTATCAGGCTGTGCGGTATATAAAGTTTCCTGGGTACATATAATAATTATTTGGATTTTCAAGCCTCAAGTGACGTTTCATGCTTCCCATATAATTTATGTTAATGTTCACTATATTTCCCGTATTTTCATTGTTCAACCTTAATTTATGTGTACTTGCTTAATTAAAAATAAATAGATTATTGTATATCACATGAGATAAACAAAAGTTATAAAGTGAATATAACTTTGGCCAAGAAACGTATAAATTGAGTCAACCAAATGTATCATTACAATAATGATATAGACAAATAATATTAAAATTAAATTGCTATGTTTTGTGGTTGTCTCAAAATTAATACTTGCTGTGAACTTCTGCTCAGCCAATGAATGCAATAGTGACACAAATATAGAACAAACAATTATTATTATGGGTGTAATTAACAGATGTAATACATCAATTCCTGTGGAAAAAATGACATTTCACGTGAAACTCCCAATAACATGTCCATGTTAATTTGTACACATGCCAAATGCGTATTGGATAATACACCAATGTGATACAGGCTTAGGCAAGCTAAATAGCATGAGAGTCACCATGGCATATGAACTGAAAACGCAAATTGCAAGTTAAATATTAAAGCCATTCAAACTACAGTAAAAATAATAGAGAAAAACAATAGCAAGATAGGAGATTTTCACTTGATCAAAATTATATACCTAAACTAAATAAAGGTCAGTCGAATGGGTAGAAACATCTGTAATTTGGGAATATCAAGATGTAGATAGTAAAATAATTACAAACCACTTCCTTTATGCATTTATAAAATCAAACATCATCCGTGACCCCCCCCCCCAAAAAAAATTTTTTTTTTCAGTTGAGCTTGACACTGAACATAGATAATTATGCCATATATACAATGTATGATGGCAATCATCGAATATGTATTGTGGTAGAATTAAATATATAAAATGGATACCAATAGTGATATCAACAATATGAATATGAATTTTGAATGCCTGACAAATATTCATGAAAATGAATGGTATCAATTTCCAACATGGAATGAGTGAATACATTTGATTGATCGTTAAAAAGAATATCATCCAATTAAATTAATACATTAAGGTCAAATGTTGATTACTTTATGAAAATGGATATGACGAATAGTGGCATTTTTAGTGACTGTTTCTGAGAGGTACAATGTCCACTCAGCTCGTTCCACGCAGAATAATATCATATTCATTTCTAGCCAGATATCTGGCAGTCGCATAACCAATACCGTCACAGGATGTGGATCCAGTGATCAAAGCAACTTTCCCGATACCTCCTGCAACAGCCATTGTATTGGCCATAATCCACTCGGCCGATGAAGGCAGCATTCAGATTGAAAGATTAGAAATTGTTATCTAGTTGGCTGGGTAACTGCTTTCTGTACATTTTAAACGTTGCGTTGGGTGTCAAGAAAAATCTAACCACGCCATGTTCATTGCCAATGTCACAATTATATGCTTACATGATCTTTCAGGTTCTAATGCTAATTAAGTATTTAAATGAGTGCATGCATTACATAATTTGTACATTCTCAAAATATGATATACATGTCATCATATTAATGTTATAGACTATTGAAGTTGTATTGTCGGTGGAAAGCTTTTTAAATTTTCAGTAATACACATTTCATTAAATTAGCAATACGATATGTTTGTACCGGTAATACCCCTGCAAATTACATGCAATTTACTGTGAATACTTATTCCAAATACAAGGGAAAGCTAATTTTGTGTCACTCGCATAAATTACATGGGAAAACGCATCTAAAAAATGTGTGCATAATTTGAGATCAATATTTGAATACCTTTATTTACATCGCCCAGCTTTTCGTTTTTATATTTTGCTTGTATGATAATTTCATTTTTAAATTATTTTTCTAAAATGTGGATATTTCACTATTCAAACTGATGCATTTTATTCTATGTTAAACACATTCATTAGACACATTTTAATATAATGTAGGCAAATTTTGACAAGTGTGACAATGACTCAGTATACTCAGTAAAATGCATTCGTATTACACGGGAGATACATGTGAAAACATCATGTTTACATATGCAGATCTTGGTTCCATTATAATTTTCAATACAAATACGATTTCTACAAAAAGCATAAAATGTGTGGTATCAAATTGTAGATCAGCATGAAAAAAATCAGATCTTGAATAAAAGGCTTGCGCATTTCTTCTCAGCGCATGAAGTATTAGAATGGACTTGTTGCTGAATTAGCAAAAAATTGACAGCCGAAAAGTGTTTGCACAGTAATTGAATTAATTGTAAATTAGAAGTGTTTTAAAGTTGATGGTGTTGATGATAATGAAAGTTACTGTATCAAAATATTTTACTTGTCGATGGTCTCCATGGCCATGTACAGTTGGTATAGATTGCATGTCACACAAAGCAACATAAACATGTAGGGCACATGCTGCATCGAATGCATGCAAAGATCAAATTGACGCGTACTACATTACTACAAAATTAACACTTTCAGTGGATTTACATTAGATTAGTTCATCTCTCATGAATTTAAGTAGGTTTCAACATGTTGTTAATGTGGCCAAGATTTAGCACCAAAGATTCATTGTATGTTGTAGTTGACCTCATGTACACATGACTGTGGTTTGAATCACATATATGCATTATGCAAATCAGTTTCACAACTTATAAATAATTGTATTACTGGGCACACAGCAATAATACATCCAGAATTAAGCATTGTTATTCTAAGCATTACTCGGCCCACTTGCCGGCATCTACCGGTATACTTGCACCAGTCATTTGGTCTGCTGCTGGTGTGCAAAGAAAAGCTGCAAGTTCTGCAATCTGAAATGAATTGAAATACAAGAAAAGTTGAACAAATCTCAAATGAATGATTTTTCACAGAACATATTTGATTTATTTTAAAATATATAATATTCTCAATGTTGATATATTCATACATGTATATTAATAATTATGACAAACTTGTATTGGTAGTTATAGTACAACATGCAATAAATAACATACCTGTTCAACAGTTACAAACTGGCCGGATGGATTTCTTGTTTTCAAAAAAATTGCCTGCAAAAATGTCAGTTGGCATTATAAATATGTGTATATAATAATAATCCATGTACAGTTATATTTATCAAACCAAATTTGAAAAAAAAACAACAGCACTCAAAGTGTCGATTTGAAATGTATCATGTACAGTTTGTACAGAGGATTTATTGCATTGCTCTGCTGTATGTCCATCACAGGTAAATAGGGTGCATTTTTCAGTGAATAGAAACAAAATATCTGCTGATTATTTTACTTTCAAAGTAGAATCAAAATCGGTGTATGATTGGGGACTTTGTCAGGAGAGAAATGTTTCTGTTAAAACACAATTGCTATAATTCATGGATCAAAATACAGATAGACTATGACTAAGCTAGCTCCATAGAAAGACTTTGAGCAGATAAAATACATTTCAGCTGTTTAAAATGCTTTTATTACTTAATTCAGCTTTTTAAAAAACTTGTGATTGCAGCAAAAATAACTGTTCGCTCACGATAACCCCGACTTAGGCAGAGGGTTCTCCGAACCCGCCTATTCATATAGTTCATACCCACCATAGACCCTGGTCAGTCAAAATGACTATTTTGAACTGTAGGCATTAATCAGCGATTCTGCCAGTGACGGAGAGATAGAATCTAGGTCAGGGGAAGCCCCATGACCCCAAGATTATTTTACCCTTACGTCACGAACCCACGTGACCAAGGCCATATGGTAGCCATAGACGGCTCTACAATCACTCTGGTTCCTATCTCTCCACCTCGAGGACTTATACCAACGCTACGGAAAGAGTGGGGTGGTTGGGGGGGGGGGACC